GAAATAAAAATTCCAGAAATAAATAGAAAAAGCAGTTCTACCTTCAAAATAAAATTTTTAAATATCACCATTTATGGCTTTGAGTTTTAAGCCCTGCAATCAGTGGCAGTTCTTCAGCCCCAGGACACTTAACTCTTTATTAGTTTCCTTCCCAAATCTTTTCAGAGCTCTTTTAATATCTTTATTCCTGAGACTGTACATGAAGGGATTCAGCATGGGTGTGACCACACTGTACATCACTGAGGCGATCACACTTGAGTGTGAGCTGTGGGTATCTGCAGAGGTAAGGTACACTCCCAGGACTGAACAAGAAAATAAGGAGACAACTGAGAGATGAGATGCACAGGTGGAAAATGCTTTATACTTCCCCTGAGCTGATGAGATTCCATTTATGCAGGACATTATCTTAGAGTAAGAGTAAAGAATAGCAGCAAGGGAGCCACCACCCAGCACCGCTGATACAAAATATACCACCAGGTTACAGATGAAAGTGTCAGAACAGGCAAGTTGGATCATCAAGTTGGCTTCACAGAAAAAGTGGGGATTGCCTGCTTTGTACAGAAGGACAGCTGCACCACCATTAAGCTTTGCATCAGGGAATATAGGAAACTCATAACAAAAGATGACAGAACCAGGAGAACACAGAGCCGGGGTTTCATGATGACTGTGTAGTGCAGAGGGTGACAGATGGCCACATACCGATCATAGGCCATCATGGTCAGGAGGAAGACGTCCAATCCCCCAAACAGTAAGAAAAAATACATCTGGATGATGCAGCCTTCGTAGGTTATGACTTTGCTGTGAGTCTGGATGTTCCACAGCATCTTTGGGATGGTGGTAGAGGTGAAACAGATGTCTGCAAAGGACAGGTTGGAGAGGAAGAAGTACATGGGGGTGTGGAGGTGGGAGTCTGAGCTCACAGCCAGGATGATGAGCAAGTTTCCAAACACAGTGATCAGGTACATGGAGAGGAAAAGCCCAAATATGAGGAGCTGCAGTTCTGGTTCATTTGATAATCCCAGAAGTAGAAATTCTGAAATCTGTGTATTATTACTAGGCCCATAAGATTGATGTGACAGCTAGGAAAGAAAAAAATAATATGACTAATTTTCATACAAATGGGTATACTAAAATAGGTGGAACTTTACAATTAATGTTTTGAAGTTAAGCTACATGTGTGTGTGTGTGTGTGTGTGTGTGTGTGTGTACATGCATACTAATTTGTTCAGTTGTGTTCTACTCTTTGTGACTCCCATGGACTGGAGCCCACCAGGCTCCTCTGTCCATGGAGCTTTTCAGGCAAGAACACTGGAGTGGGTTGCCAACATATATATTTGCTATGGAATTCATCCTGTTAAATGGGTCTGTATAACTTCTCTGTCTATGAATTTTTGTCTTGGACTTTGCCCTTCAAAAATCCCTATAGTCCAATCACAGAGAAAGACTGTAAGCAAATATATACCATGCTATGAATAAAGAAAAGATGCTATGAATCTTTTGTTAGGTGCTATGAATAAAGAAAAGATACAGGTATAAAAGTGAGTGGATGGCACTTATTTTTCATTGAGAGTTCAGTTAATCTGCTAACTAGATGATGTTTGAAAACAGAATTTAAGGAAGACACAACAGGTGACAAGAGTTTATCAGATCATGTACACATCCTGTAGGCAAAAGAACCTGCAATGATACTGAAGATCTTTTTCTAGATATTCAAGCTCAAAAGTAAGCCAGTGTTCAGGGGAATGTAAGAGGGAGGGTGATGAAGGGTTGTGTCAGAGGATGCTGAAAAATAAAATGACTTCTGTGCTATTACTAAAACTTCAAGACATGGGGAGTCCATCATCCAGTGTATTGTTCCTTGCTCTCTGTACATCTGCTTGATGCTCAGAATAACTAATAAAGCAAATATATGTGTGTGTGTATATGTTATTCTATCAATCGCATCTGACTCTTTGTGACCCTATGGACTGTAGCCTGCCAGGCTCCTCTGTCCATGGGCTTCTCCAGGCAAAAATACTGGAAAGGGCAGGCATTCCCTTCTCCAGGGGAGGATCTTCCTGATCCAGGGGTCAAACCCGGGTCTCCTGCATTGGGGGCAGATTCTTTGCTGTCTGAGCCACCAGGAAATATATATATATATACCATATATACCTCCAGATTAAAAAAAAAAGACATATCTTTATGATAGCAAGGGATCGCGAAGAGTCGGACACAACTCAGTGACTTCACTTTCACTTTTCACTTTCATGCACTGGAGAAGGAAATGGCAACCCACTCCAGTGTTCTTTCCTGGAGAATCCCAGGGACAGTGGAGCCCGGTGGGCTGCCGTCTATGGGGTCACACAGAGTCGGACACAACTGAAGCAACTTAGCAGCAACAGCAGCAGAAAAATCAGCAAAGAGAATAAACCAAGAACTTGCAAATGGAAATGTACAATGTACAAAAATAGTGAAAGGATTTTAAAGGGAAATGGTAAAACACACTTCTAAATTGTATTAAATTGTATTAAAATTCCTAATTTTGAAATTAGGAAACCTTGCATCAAATCTTGGATCTACCACATGTGATCTGTTTTAACTATAAGAGGCAATTTAATCATTCTATAGTTTTACATGTTTACCCAAATAATGGGAAGATTGGTATTTATCTTCCTAAACTGGTTGACAACATATGCAAAAAGATTAGCCTCACCTTCCTATTTGCAAAAGAATGGTTGTCAGTGGTGATGAGTCTCCACATTCAGTCCTGTGGATGACAGGGCAAAGAGAAAGCTGCTTGATGCAGGTGTTTAAGCAATAAATAGGAAGCTGATGCTGCAAGATGAATGTGCAAAGGGGAAAATGATGAAAGAAAGTGTGAAAGAGTGTCCAGGAGTGAAACATCCAGGAGTTTTCAAAATGTGAGTAGCACAGCCATAGCATCGAATATTAGGCAGACATTGAAATAATGAATGAGCAAAACACTAGTGGATTGGAGGCAACTCCATGAGGTATTAATGAGTAAGATGGAACAGTGGACACAAGGAAGAAACAAGACTGCACTAAAATATAAAGAGTGTGTATGATATGCACATAATTCTATTTATATATTTATTTGAATAAAAGTATATGAATATATATGCAAATGTGTGTATTATATATAGATTATACATCTATAGGAAAGGAAGTTTAAAAAGAAAAAAGAATTTATAATGTAGAGAGTGTCAGTAAGAATTCAATTAGACTAGAATTAGTGGTTTCTATGCAGGCCAAGAAGCAACAGTTAGAACTGGAAATGGAACAACAGACTGGTTCCAAAAAGGAAAAGAAGTACATCAAGGCTGTATATTGTCACCCTGCTGATTTAAATTATATGCAGAGTACATCATGAGAAATGCTAGGCTGGAGGAAGCACAAACTGGAATCAAGATTGCCGGGAGAAATATCAATAACCTCTGATATGCAGATGAGACCACCCTTATGGCAGAAAGTGAAGAAGAACTAAAGAGCCTCTTGATGAAAGTGAAAGAAGAGAGTGAAAAAACTGGCTTAAAGCTCAACATTCAGCAAACAAAGATCATGGNGGAGTTGGTGATGGACAGGGATGCCTGGTGTGCTGCAGTTCATGGGGTCACAAAGAGTTGGACACAACTGAGTGACTGAACTGAACTGAACTGAATCAACCATATGAAGCAAAATTGAATGAGAATCCAAAACTAACATACAGCAAAATAATATAATCAAAATTTGACAGTAACATCATGGGTCTTTGGCTACAGATTAAAATTGCAAAGACTTGGAAATCTAAGGATATAAGGGAAAGTCTTTTAAACTCATGGAAAAAGCAGTGCAGTGCCTAAGTTTTATTTTCATCCTATATAAAAATATACTGATTCATATAAGTTTATGCAATGCAAGAGACACGGGAGATGAGGATTTGATCACTTGTTTGGGAAGATTTCCTGGAGGAGGGCATGGCAACCCACTTCAGTATTCTTGTCAGGATAATCCATAGACAGAGGAGCCTTGAGGGTTACAGTTCATAGGGTCATAAAGAGTCAGACATGGCCTAGTGACTGAGCATGCTTCCACACATACAGAAGAATATTCACTTTCATTTTTGTTTCCATCAAAGATCTTCAAGAATACTAAAATAACAGCTCAATTTTTCAGTACAGAAAAATATGGAGAAAACAGAATAGACAGAGTGATATATTCGGCCACACACTATGAATAGACACTCACAATCCCTTACATATACACCTGTACATTCATAAAAGAACTCAGTCTTAAACAGAGATTTGATAGAAAAACTCCAGTTCCTTGTTTGGAACAATGTAATCAAAAACAAGAATAAAAATTCTCCAATGCTTCCTACACAAATGTAAAGATTTTGTATAGACTATTTACAATAGAGAATACAAATGAAAAAGTAACCCATAGATAGTATTCAGCTTCATAGGAAAATAATTGCAAAATAAAGCTATTTAGCATGCTGCTTTTTAATTCTCAAAGATGTTTTTTAACCTGAATATCCAGAGTGTAAAAGAGATAATGTGACATTAATCTATCATAAACTTTTATTACAAAGTAATATTTGCAAGCAATACATTGGTCTGGATCTTTCCTACAAATATAAAAATGTTTCAAATGTAACCCATCTTAAAAAAGAAAAAAGAAATACCCACAATTCACTGGACTACCTTCACACCAAATGCTTTTTATTTACTTGCTTTTTCTGCAAAACCCCTTAGATAAGCCTTGCTTTTACTAGAAGCACTGTATGCCAGCCATTCTTGACTCTAATGGGTTACCTTCACTTAATAGTCAACAGTCACCCCTGTGAAGGTTCATGCTCATGTCCCTTTTCAGCATGATAAATAAATACATTAGTTAGTTAATCAGAAAAACAAACAACTAACAATCTCTTAGCATTGGGCTCAGCAAGTGGTTATCAGGTGACCTCAAGAATGTTTTTCTCTGATCCTTTTCTGTAGTACCTCCTGGACTTGCCAACTCACCTGGTTGGGAACTCTGAGAGGAAGGTCACTGGGGGGAACTTCAAACTCCTCCTGGATGGTTAATGATGGAGACTGAAGCTCTGGCTCCTCAAAAGACAGCAGGAACGAGGGTGGCAAGAGTCTCCCAGCCAGACTTAGGACTCCAAGAGCAACTACCACACCTCATGCAGTCCAAGGTTGTACAGGCTGAGGGATGCACCAGAGGAGATATGTATAGCTCCCCTTGTCTGCTCATCAGCACATTTCTGTCTTGTTACTCCAAACCCTAAGCACACGGTTTCCCAGTGGGACACTAGTCTGAACACAAAAGGGAATGTCCTGGAGATTCTGGGTTTCCAAGAGACCAGGTTAGAGTCAAGAGAATCCACAGCTTATTACCATAGTTCTTCCTCATGTACATTCTGAATTCTTCAGTCTAACCTTCCAGCACCTCATCCCAAACCTGATTTAAGATTTTCTCCAAATTTAAGGCTGCATTTCATACTTGCATAGATTAGGTTCCTTGAGTCTGTAACGTATTTTGTAGTAGAGACACAACCCCTGGTGTCTAGAGAAAATTGCTCCTCCCTTTCACAAGGATGAGGAGGAGAACTCCATTCCTTTGATATAAACCTTGGGCTCTGCACACCTCAGTTCCATGCCATGTTGTCCAAAATCGTTGGGAATTTCACAATTATATCACAAGTTAAGAATTGTCATTTAGTCCCTCATATTGAAATGTTTGTTAATTGTAAGGTATATATTTGGATTTTTTTTTCCTCCATAATATTTACTCAGAATAGGAAAGTAGATGTGTTGTTCCTGATAGCTTCCAGAAGAAATCCAGTGCCACAATCATTTTGATTTTACCCAATGAGACTCATTTCAGTCTTTTGATCTCCAGAGTTGTAGGAGCATAAATGTGTTTATTTAAATCATTAGTGTGATAATTTTACATTTGCATTAGGAATTGTCTATAGATATTTATGAACAAAGCTAGTCAAGGTGATGGAATTCCAGTTGAGCTATTTCAGATCGTAAAGGATGATGCTGTGAAAGTGCTGCACGCAATATGCCAGCAAGTTTGGAAAACTCAGCAGTGGCCACAGGACTGGAAAAGGTCAGTTTTCATTCCAATCCCAAAGAAAGCTCAAACTACTGCACAACTGCACTCATCTCACACGTTAGTAAAGTCATGCTCAAAATTCTGCAAGCCAGGCTTCAGCAATACGTGAACCGAGAACTTTCAGATGTTCAAGCTGGTTTTAG